TCACCAATTACATAAAAGGTCTTAAGGTAAAAGAAATTGATGGATTTGTACCTGTTTTAGATTCCAAAAGAAAAACGGGGTTTATAGGATTTATTGGAGGATTACATAGTGTTTTAAAATTGTATGACAATCTTGTAGACTCAGGCAAATTAGAACACTTAAAGTTGTACAAATGTAGTCAGGATCATATTGAATTGTTTTTTGGCACAGTAAGAGCATCAGGAGGTCATAATAATAATCCAACAGCACAACAGTTTCGAGCCGCATATAGAAAATTAGTGATTAGAGTTAATGATGTTCAAAGCTTTAATACCGGCAATTGTATACCTACCTCTTGAGGATATTGATATCTTACATTATTCTAGTATAGATCCTATTAAAGTACTGAATAATAATTCTATAGGTATTAGTTCAGACACGGTTATTGATGAGGTAAATGTTCAAAATATAAATTCATTAATCATGGACCACGATTATATTGGTAACAATTCTGAACATTCATCAAGCCAGTTTGCAAAAGAAATTATAATTTATATAGCCGGTTTTGTAGTTTACAAACTTACCAATTCACTTAAATGTGAAGAATGTAAACTTGGATTAGTGGCTGTGGAAAAGGATTGTTTTTTGAACTCATTAATTACTTTAAAGAATAGAGGAGGTGAAAAAGGAGGATTAATGTACCCCAGTGAAGATGTCATTTCAATTTGTTTTAAAACTGAACATTTTTTAAAAAGTTACAATTATAAACAAAAAGCAATCAATAGATTAGAAATCCAATCAAAAGTTTTGGCACATTATTTGTTCAGTTCAACAATATTTAAGTCTTTAATAACCCATAGTCAAGAAACACGCAGCCCTTTATCAGACCATTGTACTCTTTTAATAAAATCAATTGCAACTACCTACATAAATTTAAAAATTAATTACATTGTAAAAAAACATAATGAAACACCATCCCTTAGACAATGGTACAATAAACTTACCCTGTTTAGAGGTCAATGAATTTAAATGTTTTATAGTTGTTATCATTTATATTAAAGTAATACATTAAAAAAAAATTGTTTGTTGTAGTTTTAAATTTTGATATGTATGTTAAGTATTAAATATAAATAACTAATTGTATAATATTGTTGTATTTTAATTAAAGGTAAAGAATCGTAATAAATCAAAAAATCTGATGACGTTCAACAGATGACAGATGACATATGTCTTATTTCTACGCTGTTAATTAACAATATTTGGTAAACAAAAGTATTTAAAAAAAAAATATGCTTAGACAATTGTGTGAGTATGGATATTTCAAGTCAAGTATGTATTTAGTAGTAAGTAAGGTATTTTCTTTTTTAGACCTAGAGTTTAAACTTGTACTTTTGTTTATAATTTCATAACTTTTCACTACATTTCAGATATAAATAACAGTTAATTTTGTTTAATCTTCATTTATTTTAGGTTCTGCCATAATTAGATTAGATTTGATTAATATGCATATGCATATAATATGTATTGTAATAATCTTTTTGAAAATATTTGTACCCGATTTAGATCATTCTTCTTAAAATAACACTGATTGTATTTTGCATATTTTGCATGATTCCAAGTGTTTGACAGAAACCGATCAGGGAATATAGATTGAAGATATAGAATGTTAAATGGCAAAGAACTTAGTGAAGACGACAAAATACTTTTTTATACCTTTTTTAATACTTATTTTTTAGGTATAAATCTAATTTTATGGACACCCTTTTTTAAAATTTTTTTTTTTTTTAAATTTCGTGTTTTTCATGCTAAAATCAAAAGTGTTTGAAAATATTTGTGGAAACTTACTGTTCAAAAGTTATGGCAATTCAAAATTGTCGATAATACAAAATATGCTAAATAACTAATTTTCACCTGATGTCCGGGCTAACGAGTGACCATGCTGGCAGTAAGTGTACTTAGAAAACAATATTGATGAAAAAAAGGGTGTCCGGTAAAATAGATTTGTTCCATTTTTTACATGATTTATTATGTTTGTAACTATTAATTAATATTTAATATCATCGAAGACTCCCTTCTTGACAAAAAAAAGTGAAAAAATACATCTAAGAAACTTTAGGTATACTTAAAATTGTGTTACATTATATAATATGAATTAAGTTTAAATTTAAAATAAATAATTAAATTATTTTTATTATTATTATTGTTATTTTATTATTTGTGAAAACCTGTCAATTTATATTTGATTACATACATTATTACATGGTTCATCTACTCATTAAACCCTAAGATTGTTATGAGTAGGGTTCAAGCAGAACAAAATATAAATATTAACTAGCATGAGTATGCACTGAAAACTTAATATATTAAATGTTTTCTTATACTATCCAAATTAGACAGACAATTATCATTAAAAGTATATTTGGTAGCCTATTACTAGGGTATAGGCCAGTGGTGGCTACGGGGGAGAGGGGCGTTTTCCCTTCCCATTGGGCTGTCTTTTTAACGTTATCTTTTATTATTATATTAGGCTTAGCCAAAAGGTTATTCAATTTTTGAAAATTCACTCCCTTGGGTGATCCGATAGTGGTATAGGTCTTAGTTTGAATAATACAAATTTTAAATTCGAATTCGAATTCTTAAAACCTTTAATGTATTAATATGTATACTAAATGCGCTTCCCCAAAAAGGTAACTCATTACTTAAAATGGATCTAACCATACAAAAAAAATTTATAACTTATAACTAATTTTGTCAACAAAATATTAAGTATATTTTCAGTGTTACCCGGACAATACATGAACAATATGTTACATGTTTGATATGGCTAACCTGTAAAAGGGAGTCTAACTGCGCTTCAACTATTTTATTGAACGGCCTCTCTATATTACTCTATGGTGTACGTACATAAAAATTTTTCGCTGTGATTGGTTGGTATACATGGTAAGCGTTTGGTAACACCAAAGTGTTTATACGTTCTTACCTCACGATTAACCATGTTACCGTGTTGTTGAACATAGCTGAACATTTTTCGTGTACTCGGCACACCATTGTGATAAGGAGATGATAAAGTAACTGATATTTGATTTCCATATACCTATTTTGACTTGGACGGTGAAAAACTGAAAACTGAAATAAAATAAAAATAACAAATATGGATCCGTCTAAAATATTAGTAAGTACCTTATATTATTACAATTCATTATTTTTATTGTGTTTATTATTATATTATTATTTATTACAAAGAACAAACTTAGTTTCATTTATAAAAATCATATTTTGCTGAATTTTAGAACTCTTACATTTTATTAGGGGATACACATTATATAATAATGAATAATGGTACACATTAACAATAATTTTTCTAATAACGTGATCTAATCAAGGACGAAGTAGTCAAATATCTCTGTAAAAGAGGCATTGTTCATCTTACACACATTTAAATAAATTTCAATAATTAGACTATTTTATTTTCCACTGCTATGGAAGTTCTCATAATCATCATGATTCAAAAACCAAATAAGCCACCTGATACTACAATTATAGGTAAGATAATAATTATTTATAATTAAGGCAAAGGACTTGTAGCATTTGCATAATTTTTTTGCACAATCAAAAATTCGCAGAGTAAGAAGCAAATACGTTTCATGCTGAAACAAAGCTAGTTTTCAAATTTTATTTTGCATATAAATGCATATTTTGAGTTTTTTTTTGGTTTAAGGGCATATTTATTGTCTGGTTGTTAATTTAATTCACCGACATTGGACATATTTATATTTCAGTATATATTTTTTAGAATTTGAAGAAATTGACATATTCATTTAAAAAAGTATCTGAAAACCTATAAGTTTAATTAATTCAATACTTGTAAGTTTAGATTGAATTAAAATATATTCATAAAAATAAAAGATACAGAAAAATTCTTATTTTTAATTCAAATTTATTCATTTTAAAATGCATATTTTTAATGCATATTTTGTATATTTAAGTGCATATTTGGTGATTTTTTAGTGCTACGAGTGCCCTATTTATAATATTTATAATATTTTTTAATAATATTATTTATATTGTTGATACATTATATCTACTAATATTGAAAGGTTGACATTTTTAATAAATGTATGTAGAATTATATTTTCTTACTCTTGTAGTCTTGCACGACTGATATATTTTTATTGAAATTTGAATCCAGGTAATGGTCAAATGTGAATAATATTATATTTTGTTAACAGAACTACAAGTAATATTAATCCTGTAAATAATATGTCACTGTTAGATAGTGAAGCCAGTTCAGAACAGAGTACTAAGCCAACAAAAAGTAAATGACACTTATATATTTATTATGTTACCAATTAATTAGACATCAATTACCTATAAACTATAAATACATTTCAAATCACATTAATTTTAAATTTTTTTTATGGTTATAATAATATGAAGTTCTGATTAAAATTGATAGAATTTGTGTTTAGGATCAAAGAATGATACTTTTGAAGAATCAATTTTAAAGGAATTGCGTGAATCAAGACCGGTTGCACCAACAAGGCTCCACCAACTAACGAAGAAAACGGGGATTCTGTAAATATTTGGCACATTTAATGAAAAATATGACAGAAAAAAAAAATTAGAAAAAAAGATTACAATCATAATTTATATGCCAAGTTATTGATAGTTTGGAAGACTGACTATGAAGTTTAAGACAGATTATTAAATTATAAGACTGAAAGTAACTTCTTATAAATTTGTTAAATTATTTGTTATTATTTTATTTTGTAAAGTATCTCAAAAAGTATTATTATTTGAATTTAAATATTCTACATATCCAATTTTGTATTTTGTTTTGTTTTCATTGTTAACATATGAGTGGTTTTGTTTATTTTTAGTCTAGAAAAGGTTTTACTATTTTTTTGTTTTTAATTTTAATTTCATTCATAACCTATTTAAATATTGAGATTTGATTTTTCATTGAATAAACAAATTTTTTCAAACATTTTTAATATTCAAAGTTTATTTACAATAAATAGTTATTTAACTAATCTTTCATATTGAAATGCAACTACACCTTTGCCTGAAAAATGATCCTTAAGTTTATTTCTGATTATCTTAGCATTTCCTGAATAGGTATTGGTTCCTAATTGGTTTACTGGTCTTAAAGCTCCCATTTCTAGTGTTGCCCGTCGATTGTCTTCATCAGGTTCGATGTCCAAAGGGCCACTATAATACCGTACACCTATGATACACGTCTTAAGTTAAAACAATTTCAAATAACATTAAGTTATTTACAATAAGTACCAGCATTACTTTCTGACATTTTTATAAAATTATGCAATACAACTGCAGCTTTTGTAATTGCTTCTACAGTATTGCGTCTGGCAATTATTGTTTTTCTAAACACACGCCATTTTGAGGCCATTATTCCAAAGGTATTGTCAATGGTACGTCTGCCTTTGGAAAGTCTGTGTAAAAAAAAAATGTTGTTACTAATATATTTTAATTTATTAAATAAATACAACCAACCTATAGTTAAATATTGATTCGTTTAATGGTAGTTTTCTTTTACCTCTTCCTGGGTAAGGGCGCCTAAGATTAGTTAGTAGCTAATCGCTTCATCACCAAGTGCATAGTATGGAATTGGACCACTGTTACTATCTATATCTTTACAGGTGGGAAATTTAAATTATTTGCCATAAAACCCTTACCCATTTCAGAGTTAGAGAAAACTCCACCATCACTGCATCTTCCAGCTGCACCAATGTCTACTATAGTAAAGTTATAACTGGCGTCACACATTGCCAACAGTATTATACTATGTGCTCCTTTATAGTTATAATTTTCAGATCCACTATTGGAAAATCCCTGTACAATTGTAATACATCTTATTTTTATTTGTTCGAATAAATAAAATAAATAATTATCACCTGGTGTATAATACGTTTACCATCAATACTACCTATACAATTTGGTACTTGCCATTTATTTTCAAACTCGACACCAAACTGTGCCCATTTTTTAGTATCTGGTACAACTAATACCTATCATAGGAAGGAATTATTTTATTAAAATAACGACTATATTTTACTACATAAAAATGACCAGACTGTCTTATTATAGCTTATAAGTTATATACCTAATATACGATTTGTCTTAATTATGTTCTAACGTTAGTTTACTCAGAATACTACAAACATTGCATACCTTTGTATTTAAAGTATCTCATAAAACTTCACAGCATTGGAAAATAAGTTTAGTATACAGTGGCCTTCCTTATACGAAATGAGTACATTATTGACATCATTGATTCACCAGGGGCAAGATACCTGTAACAGTTAAGCATAAATATACTAAACAAATGGATAGTAAATAGTAATGAATTATAATTACCGCAAAGTTGTCGTTAGGACTTCTCCAACTGATAATATATCAGGCCGACTTGGAAATCTCATTATTTTGGGTCCAACTAAGCACACCAGTTCCTCAAATGTACTAGCAGACATTCGTACAAAGTTTTGGTAGAGTTCTGAATTTGTTAATTGCAGTTCACTTGTCAAACAATGACAATGCCCATGCACTCTCCTTTCTTTTAGAAATGGTTTAACATGCCATGTGGGTTTTGATCTAGTAAATAATAATTTAGTATTAAAAAATAATAGATACTCAAATAAAAGATTAAAATATTATTACCTGTCGTTTTTGTTCTTTTTGTGTAAAGTGGCCAAATAGACAAGTAACACTTTTCTATGATGCACTTGGTTTACATAATTATACCATTGTATGTCTTCGTTTTCCATTTCACAATCGTGTATATTAACTATAAATTCAAATAAAGTATAAAGTACATACTTAGTAGTAAATAAGTAAAAAATATCAGCACAAACCACAATCAAATTATAATATTAAAATATTTTTAATAAAAGGGCTGTATATCCTTTATGTACCATTATCAACAATTATATCAAGAACCATATACAATAGGACGGTGCGCGGGTAAAAGGGAATAAGTCAATTTTGGCCATTTTTCGATTATTACGCCATCTAGTAGAAAAAACAATTCTACGTAGTTTTCAAATCTAAAATAAAAGTAATGTTAGATATTTCTTATCTTCAATCGTCTGTGAAAAATGAAACAAGTGGTAGTTATAATTTATAATGCGAGGGTAAAAGGGAATAAGTTTTATAAATAAAATATTATGTTCGAGTAAAATGGAACAAGTTAACTTATTCCTCATTGTACGTATTGTCGCATTAACGTGGTGCGTAACATTTCTATGGTAACATGAGTGATAATAATAGTTAATACGATCGATGTTGTTATGAATCTAATAATAATTACATACCTATTAAAGTAAGTAATAATAAATTAGATTAGTGGCGATTGGTAAATGTTTAATCATAATTTTATAAGATAGCTGACTGATAATAGTATTATAGACAATAGTGTTCTGTATAAAAAAATCAAATTGGGGTTGTTTACTGTTCAGAAATACACTTAAAAATGAATAAAAAAACCAGTTATTTCTAAAAGAAGTTATTTATTATAACAGAACACTAAAGATAATTCTAAAAAGCCAAAATTTAATCGACAGTTAAATTTTGAGTTGAGTCAAAAAGTGTCTGCATCGAAACAATATGAAATTAATGAAGTAAGTAATTAAATATCTACATATTTTATAATAATATTTTAAATAACATAACTGGTATGTTGATTACAAATAGATTTGATTTTTCTATATGACTTTTAATTATTTTAATCCATTAAAATTGTATTTGTAGTGTCGTGTACTTATGATTCACCATCGTTTTCAAGTTGTACATCATTAGACACGTGTTCCATTAGTATTCAAACTCCAAACTCATTAACTGCCAAAACTCCAAGGAAACGAGTACTTCAACAAAAACTATAAAAGGCTCTGTGTACAATTAAAGAACTAGAACAACAACTACAGCAGACTACAACCATTGAACACTGTATGAAAATGTGTGAACAATATTTATCACATTCAGTCTACCTTCTAGTTAAGAATAATTTTGTAAACAAAGATAGGTTAAATAGTGGACACCGATATTCTAAACAAATTAAACAATTTGCTTTAACTGTATATTTTCTTAGTCCTATTGTATTTCATTTTCTTCAGAAATCTTTTTCGCTTCCTTCTATTTGCACTTTAAGAAGAGTAACTTCTCAATATGATTTACAACCTGGCTATTTAAGCCAATCATTTAGATTTCTTATTTAACTTTTTAGAATTTAAAATGAGTAGTTTTCATCCTGATGCTTTGGACTGTTTTTTATGTGCAGACGAAATGTCAATAAAACAACATTTATTTTATAATGTTTCAAAAGATGAGATAATTGGTTTTAACCAATCAAATTCTTTTAGGACATATGAACCTGCAAAATTTGCTCTTGTCCTTATGATCAGAGGAATCAAATATAATTGGAAACAACCTATTGCGTACTACCTTGTTTCTAATAGCTGTTCTGGGCCAGATCTTAATGCCATTATTTTTTCAACGATTCGACGATTACGAAATATAAAACTTAATGTTAAATGCTTAATTACAGATCAAGGGTCAAATTTCATTCGCTTTTAAAATACTACTAAGGTTACTCCTAAGGAACCATTTTTTGAAGTTGATGGACAGCCGGTCGTTTATATTTTTGACCCCCCTCACCTGCTGAAATCAACACGTAACATGTTTTTTAAACATTTATTTAAAATTGGTGAAGATTTCATCGACAAAAAACATTTAGATAATTTTTATAACTATGATGGCAAATGTAACCTCCGTATGGCACCTAAATTAACATACTTTCATATTCATCCTGGGCCTTTTGATAAAATGAAAGTTAGATTGGCAGCTCAAGTTTTTAGTGCCAGTGTTGCAGCTGGTATGTCCACAGCATTAAATTGTAGATTATTACCAGTTGATTCACAAAGAACAATACATTTTATTGACGACATGGACAAATTATTTGATATATTTAATTCTAGAGAAACTTCTAACGGTAAAATTTTTAATAGGCCCTTTAATAATGAATCCCCTCAGTTAGATCATCTAATAAAAATGACTGAAATATTTACAAACTTAAAAGTTATAAACAAAAATAATAATGCTGATGTTACTAACCGGACAAATTTTATTAATGGTTGGTTGGTCTCTATTTCTGGACTACAGATGCTATGGAAATCCTTAAATTCTAACCAAAACCAACCATATTACATTTCTACCTGCTGTTTGAATCAAGATAGTCTTGAGAATTTAATTGGAGTTTTTAGACAACAACACGGTAACAACATAAATCCTACGCCTATACAATTTATTCAATCATTTAAAAAAATATTTTGCCTTCAGTATTTTAAACATTCCCCAGGAGCTAACTGTCTAGAAGACTTTGATCAGGTACTTACTCATATCAATGAACAACAAACAACTAATAAAAATAATAAAATAAAACAATTATTTGTTTCTGAAGAACAAAATCTTTTTAATTTTAAATCAATAAAAATTGGTACTGTCGACTTCAGGAAATTGAATATTCCTGAAAGAAATGCTTACACATATGTAAGTGGATATCTAATGAAGAAATGTTTGGAGAAACATGTATGCCCGGTTTGTATAGAGTATGCAAATCATTAAAAAACATTAGATCAGTCTTTCCTCTTAACTTTCTTCAAATCTTACTCTGCAAATGACACTTCCAATTTTGGTAAGCTATTAATGCCTCATGATGATTTTTATAATTATGTAATTAAATTAGAAGATATTTTTGTTGAGAACTTTCCTTCTATTTCAACTAATGATAACATCGGGTCCACAACTTTGTAATGTACGTTTTAGTCATCCTTGTATATTATTTGACAAACAATTTTTAGTAAATTTATTTATACGTTTCAGAATTTTTACTGCAATTAAATTTTTAAATAGGTCTATGTTGTCTGAAACGAAACGAAAAAATAGAAAACTATCAATTTTAAAACATTTGTAAATAATTTTCTTTAAGATATATTTTTAGAGTTATGTATTATATAATTAAGTATTAAAAAAATTATTTAACATTGTGAACTGTGAAGCTATGACAAATACATTTTGTAATTATTTTACCATGACAAAATAAATTATATTATCAATTATGTTTTACTGCCTAAAACTTATTCTAACTTTTTTTTTAGTTTAAAATATGGTTAATTATTAATAATAAATAAATTAATTAATTATTAATTATTAATAGAGACCGGATTTTCATGCAGTAAAAATCAAAAAAATGTGCAGTTAATAACTTAAAAATTGCAAAAACATGCAGTTAGGCCGATCGCCCACCAAAAGAGCAAAACTGCGTTAGACAGTGTTAGTCAGCCTAACACAGTTTTGTTAAAAATAGAACATAGGAAATTACGTTGCATACGTACATTAATAAGACATAGTCAAAACAAAACGTTTTTGCTTTAAATCACAATTAGTCATGACTGATACTGTCTGAGTGTCCACATTTTTCGTTAGTCACAACTAGACAAGAAAGAATATTATTCGTGTGTATTTTGTATTTTGTTTATATTTTTTATATACTTATCACATAATGGCTTGTGATGGAGAAATACTAGTAAGTTTAGTGGAAATAAGACCATCCATTTATGATTTTGGAGACAAGGACCATAGCAATCGAATTGTGCAAGACAAGTTATGGGAAGAAATAAGTAAAGAAATGAATGTTGATGGTAATTTGAATATATTAGTTATAAAGTATTATTATTTATTATAAAGTATTATTAAGTTATTAAGTTATTGAATCATTATTATTACATAAGAAATTACAAATTGTATACTTGTACGGAGTTGAAAACATTGAAAACAGCATTACTTATTTAAAACAACATAACTGTCCGAAATCACCTACATCTATGAATATAAACTTTGCGTTGGCGTCAACTACTGCTTGAAGAATAATAGAGTGGTGTCCTTTATAATTGTAATAACTAGATCCTGAATTTGGTGGACATTGAATAGCTATATGTTTGCCATCTATGGCACCTACGCAGTTAGGAAAATTCCAAAATTTGTCAAATTCTTTTTCAATGTTCAACCAACCATCAGTCGAAGGTAGAGGCATAAACTGTGGCGATAGTATTTTCCATAATGCACAACACGTATCATTGACAATTTTACCTGCAGTGGTAGCTCCTAATCTAAGACTATAATGGATGCGTTGAAAATGTTCACCAGAAGCCAAAAAACTAAAAAATAAATGTTTAAATAAATTACCAACTTTTAACTTTTTTTTACATGAACCATTATAAATTCTTAATTAAACGAAGTATGTATTAGTTTTAAAAAAAAATTAATAGTAGGTATGTCGAATATTGAAATGTACATAATTTTATATGTATAAATTGTTATTAATCATAATTGTAAACATATTCTTTGTAAGCCATTGAATGATTATTTTGTGAAATGTTTGTATTGGTTTTTTTAGTGTCGGTATGCAAAAGTAAGTGGACTAGTCTTCGTAATTCATTTGCAAGGGAACTTCGTGAACTCAAAAATTAAAAATCTGGGTCAGCTGGTTCTAAAAAAAGAAAATGGTACCTTTTTGATAGTATGAGTTTTTTAACTGGTTTTATGATGCAGCATAAAAAAATGGGTAGCAACATTGATAACGATTATATAAACGAATCCGAAGAAATCGTAGAGTCTGAAGAAGATGATACATTAGTAGTAGGAAAAACAGGAGATAATATAGTAGATAATACAGTAATGGAGAGTGAACGAGACATTATTGAACCAATGTTTAAAAAACCAAAATTAACTTTACGTAATAATGCATATAAAACAACAGCAAGTGATAAGGTAGCAGAACCGATGATAGAATTTTTGAAATCAAGAACTACAAAGCCAGCACCAGTTGAGGAACCTCCAGAATTGTTATTTTTTAAAAGCCTTATTCCAGACTATAAAAAACGTAATGATAAAAATCAAAGGAAATTCAAAAATTTAGTTATGTCGTCTTTAAATAGTTATCTTGATGAACAAGAAGACAGTAATCAAATAGCTTCATTTCAAAACAATATAAATAATATGTATCCCAGACCAGTTGAACATCAGAGTAATCATTTACGATATCAAGCCAGACCTATCATGGACCAAAATATGATTTTTATAGCAGGACAAAACACAGATCAACAAATTAATCAAAACCAAAATGTAAACAATTACTACAGTGATTTTGCTTCGGATTTATCTTCGTCTTCACAAGGAAGTAACAATTCATTCAAATGATATTTTTTTTTAATTTATAAGTTAAAATATAATAATATAAACAAATTAAAAACATAATTAACTACAAAAAAGATTTATAAGTTTAAGTTTACTTTGTTAACTATTTAAAAAAATGTATTATGATTAATTTTATATTAATTAAAAAATAAAAATGATTAAAAAAACAATTAGGTTTCTTACCTCAGTGTAACCAAAAGCCTTTCCTCAGGAGAAATACTTTTTCTAAAATTTGTATCTTCTTTCCTTATTTCTTCTCCTATTTCTTGCAGTATAAAATCAAATGTAACACTACTTACACGTGTATAATTTTTAAATTTACTTTCGTCTGAACGTAGTTCGCATAATAAAGTTAAAATTACATTATGAGTGATACGTTTTTTATTTAACGGATGAATCCATAACTTTTTTTTTTATGATTCTGTTCTAAATTTTGTAATGTGTACCACATGCAAATCGCTACATCTTCATCAGATGACATGATGACAACTGATTTTTGTTTTGTCTAATGGTGTTTTGTCTAGGTAGTGTGCATTTTATAAAAACAAATTGTTTTTAGTTGACTATGACGAAAATGACGAACACTGTCTAACGCAGTTTTGCTCTTTTGGTGTGCGATCGGCCTTAAGTGCCTAAATCGTGCAAAGTGTATTTTTTACCTAAACTCGCTTAATACTTACCAACATTTTGTAAAAATTCAAAGTACATTGATTTAAACCCTTAAATTATCCAGTTTTACATTATTACAGGATTAGCAATAAAACTGATTTTTCACAAGATGCGCAGAAGACAGATTTCCCATCATATTATAGTACAATAAAATGATGTACAATATTTATTGTACAAATAACTTGTAATACGAATACAAAACCGCATGTGGTTGTACAATTGATTATTATCTCTATACAGGCTACACTGTTATCCCAGCAGGTGTTGCAAATCTATCCCCCATAAGAACCCGTGTAATTCTAGAAAAGTGATTCTTCTGGTTATTCTGTGCAGTTAGTGTCTGTAGAGCAGCACATGACGGCTGTAAAATAGTGTTTTTCTTACCGAAAACATGGTTTCGTACTTCCCATTTTCCTCAGCTTTCGTTACTCGTAGAAACATGATTTTTTCACCAAAGTAAACGTGAGAAGCTTATCTAGGTTTTTTCGTTCCAGATTTTTGATATCTTCTTTGTCTATTTTATATGATTTTTTAAAAATTTTGAAAATTTTAAATACAAATATAATCTGTTTGAAAAAAATTCGAAAATCTGGAATGACAAAACCTAGATAAACTTTTCGCGTTTACTTTGGTGAAAAAATCATGTTTCAACGACTAACGAGATCTGAGGAAAATGGGAAGTACGAAACCATGTTTTTACAGCCGAATTTTCGTACCAGAACGGCCTCTTAAAGCAGGGACTGAAACCTTGGTGAATTTTTCGGAATATTATATCTAAAACTGTTTGATAGAAAATAGTTCTTGATTTTTTAAATTTTTATTATTCTAGTTTTCAAACCTTAGATATATATACTTAAAATTTTATGAATTTTCAACTTCAAAATAACTTAAAATTTTCGCGATTTTAACATATTTCGTAAAAATTTGATCACTCCGTTCAGAATCTAAAAAATTGTACCTGCCAGAAATAATAATAGCTGTACAATAATGTATATATTATGTTATTATATAAATGTTCTACTCATCTATAGGTATCTACTATAGTCTATAGCATAATAATTATTGAAATATTTTCCAAATGCCTATTTGGGGTACCTATGCTTTATAGTCTATAATATATATTAAGCCCGGTCCAGACCAAAAAACATTTGTAGGAAACATATGTTTCTGACAATGTCGTCGATAAATATTTATGTTTCCGACAAAATTTTCTTTGGTGTGGACGGGGCTTTAGGTAATAGGACTTGGGTATATCTAGGAAGTAGGCGGTTACGAATTAAAATACAAATTTTTAGATGTCTCCATCAAAGTTTAAAATGTGTTTTACATATGTAAATAAATCTGAAAACAAATGCAATATTTGTTTTTAAATTGTACAAGGTACAAACACAACGAATATGAAAAACATTTGATGTTGAAACATCCATTAAAGTTAGTAGTGTTATCACAAGAACAACAGCCTATGGTAACGGTAAGTACTTTTCAGTATATCATAAAGTAAACATTGCACTTATTAATTAGTTTCATGTCAAGTCAATAGTCTTATAATTTATTTTATTGAAACCAAAATATTTATTGTAATTTGTAATTTATTGATAATTCTATTGTTATAATATATAACTATAACTATTATAACAATATTATAATTATAAGTTACTTTTACAATAAATTGGAGGATGAAGATATTAATCCTGACGATCCTACTACCTCAACAAATTCAGAATATATTATGCAAGTGCAACCATCAGTTAATATGATGAATTTGAAACAGCAAACAGTTACTAAAACTGTGGAAGTGTTCAATAGTTATAAATACCTATATATATATGGATACAATCTAAGTTCAAATAATTGGTATCAGTTACACCATGGTTAAGTGGAACATAATTTGGATCAAGATCCTCATCATCAATATTCTCATCCTTAGAGAACTTCTTCATCATGATTCTATAACACAAAGTTAAAAATAATAAATTGTTGTTATTATTTTTACTAATAAGAATGAATATGATGTAAGTTACATCTACACATAAAGAAAAGTAATATATTGACCCCATGGTATTTCTTAACAATTAAAAATGGATTAAGAAGTATTATTTATAAATTAAAAGAACTAGGAAAGCTTCAAGTTTTTTTTTGTTTCATAATTTTAAGAAGCCTTTCTGGTACGAAAATTCGGCCGTAAAAACATGGTTTCGTACTTCCCATTTTCCTCGGCTCTCGTTAGTCGTAGAAACATGATTTTTTCACCAAAATAAACGTGAGAAGTTTATCTAGGTTTTGCCATTCCAGATTTTTGATATCTTTTTTTGTCTATTTTTACGGCCGAATTTTCGTACCGGAACGGCTTCTTAAAGCAGGTACTGAAACCTTGGTGAATTTTTCTTAATTTTATATCTAAAACTGTTTGATAGAAAATAGTTCTTTATTTTTTAAATTTTTAAATTTTTATTATTCTAGTTTTCAAACATTAGATATATATACTTAAAATTTTATTAATTTTCAACTTTAAAATAACTTAAAATTTTCGCGATTTTAACATATTTCGTAAAAATTTGATCACTCCGTTCAGAATCTAAAAAATTATAATAGCTCAAATAGTAATAATAATATAGCTGTACAATAATGTATATATTATGTTATTATATAAATGTACCTACTACTTATCTATAGGTATCTACTATAGTCTATAGCATAATAATTATTGAAATATAAACATAGGGTGTGATTCCTGTGCACCCCTACCATAAATACGCCATTGTATATTTAAATAAAAGAAAAATATCACTACAGTTATATCCTATTTACAATATAATATAGTAACGGTACTTACTAAATTGCTTACAGTTCTTTACTAACGTTGCATTCAGTAAATACAAATTTCAACGATTCGAAATATATCCATTTACTTTTGTACATTTTGTACATTTTGTCTGCTCCTTGACATGTTCTAGTTATTTTTTCTTTCCTAGTTTAGCCAGCATGTTGGTTTCTTAAACCGTGTAATTTTCTTTGTATTTCACCTTCATTAGTGTTGAATGACACAGCTAATTGGCGAACAGCTTCTCCTCCAATTATAAGAAAGTTGCCTAAGCTATGGAAAAAAGAATGAATTTTAGGTTCGGAAATGGGTTGGTTTGGAGGGAAGTAGGCTGAAGAAATTGTGATGTTGAAATTATTTATTTTAATTTTGATATTAGCAGCTTGTAGGTATGATTCATTTGTGCTAGGCATTTCGTTATAAAAGAGTGAGGATTTTATAATTATTGCAGCCCCACCATGAGAAGTTCTATCGGGGTGATCAGCTCTAATAATTGAGTAACCATTGAAGCTAATATTGGAAGTAGTGGATAGGTGAGTCTCAGTTATAAGGGCAATATCAATGTTTTTATGGTGAAGAAGGTAAAAAAGTTCATTGGAGTGTTGTTTTAATCCATTGGCGTTCCATAGGAAAATTGATAAGGAAGAGGCATGATTTATTGAGTTGGAAGTCATTTTTTTTCTAAGACTTTGTCAATTACTTTTGTAAGAAGTGTTATGAGAGGGGTGATTAATGTTTTTAAGTCATTTATAAATTATGTAAGTTGGGCAGTCAGTGAGGAAGTAGAATCTAATTGCGGTTGATTATTATTTGCAGTATGGTTTTTATTTTGAGTTGCCTGAGCATAGGATAAATTAGTAGTAATAGGGATGCTTTGATTTTCTGAGGTACTGTTTGGACTGGGGTGGGTAATTACATTAGTGTTATTTTCGTAGAATTTGTTGTTGTTGTTGAGACGGTGATTGTTGTTTACTTTGGAGTGACGGTTGTGATGAGTTTGAATATTTTTAAGAGCTGGACATCCCCGATAATTTGCTGGATGATCGCCGAAACAAAGGGCGCATTTTGCTGGAAGGTCCTTGCTTTTCGTACAAGTGGTTGAACTGTGATGGTCACCACAACGAACGCATCTAGGAGTACTGTGACAGTAAGAACGCGTATGGCCATAAACTTGACAGTTCATACATTGAGGTATTTGCTTTTTTGGTTTAGGAGCTTCGACTTTGATTTTTGTGTAACAAATATATTGTAATTCAAAAATATCTTTATTGTTGATGGCTGGTTCGAGGTCGACAAAAAATAGTGGTAAAGGAGCTTTGGATTGGTAATGAAGTACATTTGTTATATTCCGAGTTAAGAACTCATGGTTACCCAAGTCTTCTTTGATGAAATCGACTGCAGTGGTGGGGTGGAGATTTCTTATAACTACACGATAAGGTTTATCATCGTGTAGTTGGAATGTATAGAAATTTACATTTTTTTGTTTGAGGTAGGTACTTTATTACCGTTCTATATGAATTGGGATTTGATGTGTTGAGTTTTAAGCTGTTTGATGTAGTTTTACACGAGAATTCCAAGGGTGGAGCTTGTAGGTTACTAATTTCTTCGCAAAAAGCTTGGTAGTTATTAATAATTGATTTAATAAAAATTGGTGGCGGAGCTTTTGTATTGATAACGTCATTATCGACAACTATTTCGTTATCAATTGAAATATTGTTTAATCTTGTTTTCGTGTTTTCCGTATCGCTGTACAAAGGGCTAAAGCGGTTTGGAGTAGAAAATATATTGCGAGAATTATTTTGATGTTATTTTTGGATTGGGTGAGTTTCCAGGAGAGTTTTGACGTTTAGGGTCTCGCCACACCATGCGTTTTAGCGGGTCCGGGTAAACCGGATGCGTTTTGACCGGATGATTTTGCCTATGTCACATCTATGCGTTTTTGTTCCCGCCACTGCATTCCAAGTTCCAAACGCCACCGCTAGACCCCAAATTCGTCAAACACCTACGGCCAATAATTTCATTACATTCAACATATCTACGCTCTCTGAGGTAGACCTAGATTACCTACGTAATTTATGCAAAATTATTTTATTATATTACTTGTCAGTTATAAAGTTATAGGTACAAGTATAATATTTAAATAACTACCTACCTAATTAAAGTGTGTCAAAATTATTACATTTTTGTATTTTTGTATTTATTTTTTGAACACTCCATAAGTAAGTATACTATACTTGTATTTTATAAATGTGTTCAATCGTAGTTATATAATATTTTATTATTAATTAGTTTATATTAAATACATTTAAATATAGATTAAATGAATCGTCAAAAAATTAAAGTTGTTGCTGTAGCCGAAGCATTAAGTTTATTAGATCCACCGAAAGCAAAACGAAGGTATTGGGTACACCCACTAAATACGGATCGTGAGAAAATAGGCCAGTTTACGACATTTTTTGAAAATATTAGACAATATCCTGATAAATTCTATGAGTATTACCGTATGTCAATTTCAAGTTTTGATGAGTTGCTAAAAACTCTACGGCCATATATTACGAAAAATACCACAGAATTTCGTAATCCGATATCTGCTGAGGAACGTCTAACAATTACTTTAAGGTAAGTTTTTTTTTATATTACGTATAAAAGTTAAGTTTTTCAACGTGATATATATATATATATGATTATTAATAATTAATAAGTTATCACTAATCACCTATTGACTATTGTTATCAAAAATTAAAATTTATTATTTTTATTTTTTTAACATAATTTCTGTATAGGTTATGAAAATACACAGACAAACAGTATATTATAAGAAAAAAAAATGTAATACTTTATTTTTATTCAAAGATTAAATAATATTTAACAGTATAGTATAAAAAAATAACATTAAAATATAACAATCTTCGTTACTTAACTATAAAATATAAAAAATGAAACAAATTCATGTTCTTAAAAAATTAAAAATTACATTCTTTTTTAACCTCATTAATACATAATAAGCAACATAATATAATATTTTACTGTATTACAAAACCTTGTTATTTTAATATTTATAAAAAAAAATTAAAAATGTCATGTTTGAATTTAAAAACTGAAATGGTGCACCTTATTGCAATAAGTATAATTCAAACTTTACTTACTTCATATTATACTATTAAAATTTTTCAATCAATTCTCCACTAGTAGTAGGTTGTTGGGATTGATCATAAGTATATGAGCTTTTAGAATATAATGTGGAATGTTGAGCATTTGGATTGAAATTAGATGAATATATTGGCAAGGGTTGTGGCATAAGATTATGATTTTGATTGTTCCCCATGCCAGGGTTGAATGAAGGACATACATTTGAATATTGAGTTGGAATAGAGACATTCTGACTAGTGTTTTGATTAATGTTAAAATATGGTGGAGTTGATTGTAGTTGATTAGTTCCTAATGATACGTTTCTAAAATATTGTAGAGTCATGAGACGAAAATCTGTTTTTTGATCATAGTTTAGTCTTTTATAATCGGGTAATAAGGAATATAAAAATGCCTTATCAGGATCAGAAGTTACATCTTCTTCGGAAGTAGCTAAATTTCTTAGTAACTCTTTTTGAAATGGTGTCATCATTTGTACCTTGGAACTATTTTGTTTTTTACTTTTTGGAGTTGAATATCTGTCGGATTGAGGTGGTATCATTTCGTTATCTAAAACCAACTCGTGGGATGAATCTTCTCCACCGGTATTTTCTCCTTCTTCTTGTACACTTTCATCGAAATTACCTGTCGTCCTATGAGCAAATAAAAAATAATTCATCTAGTTGTCATTACTAGTGATGTACGTTTTCATGAATATTTTTTGTTATGTACATTTTTAAAAATTAGAAAATTATGAAAATTTTATAATTTCTTATCAAATAAAACTAACTACTCTGCAGGGGCGTAACCAGAAATAATTATAAAAAAAAAAATTATGTAGATACAAAATGTGTCACAGTGCAGTGGTCCGATCTTAGGGAATAATTTTTTTGGTAATTTTTAACAAAAACTGTGATTATTTTTGTGTTTCAAAGTATTTTTAAAAATCTAAAATTTTCGAGTTTAGATTACATTATAAATATGTTTGTAATAAATATCTTTATTATATTAAATATAACTAAGATTGTAATAATTAATAAAAGATTATAATTTAGATTTATATATTAATTACCTTCTTTTTTTAATTATATGCTGCAAGAACGTCAGTGATTCTGCGTATACATATTTTTTTCTTTTAGCGCTATCGCCACTTTTACCCTGATTCATAAATTTTGAATAGTGGTCTCTAATATGTCTCCATTTGGCTTTCAGATCGGTCACTATAATTATATTAATTTATAATATTATAAATAATTAATCAAATTAGTATAAAAACCGTTTTTTCTTATTTTTTTTCTCCCTGTGCTTTTGAAAATTACTGGAAATTTTAAATTTCGACCATGTGCACCAACAAGATTCACTATCCCATCGAAAAATATACTGAAGTTGAAAACATCGAATCATTATTTCAAAATCTTATCGTGTACACAGACACAAAAAAAAAATTATAATAAAAATAAACATACACATTGTAAAATCAATGCATTCATTGCTACGCTCAGAATGTAAAAACTAAAAAAAGCGACCCATCAAAATGTATTTATTAATAATATATTTTTTGTTTATTAGATATTTATCTACTGGTACGTGCTTCGCTGCATTAAAATTTGATTTTTTTGTGGGAAGAAGTACGATTGGAGTGATCGTAAAAGACACTTGTAAAGTGATATGGTCAACTTTAAATTCAAAAGAGATGCCTAAACCGACCAAAGAAGATTGGGTGGAAATATCAAATATATTTTATTCTAAAACAAATTTTCCAAATTGTCTAGGAGCAATAGACGGCAAACATATAAGGTGTAGAAATCCTAACAACTCCGGTTCGTTCTACTTTAATTATAAGAAGTATTTCTCTATCGTTTTGATGGCAATAGTTGATGCAAATTTGAATTTTGTTGTAATCGATGTTGGTTCATATGGTCGTGAAGGGGACTCTAATGTGTTCAAGGAGTGTGCATTTGGTAAACAATTATATGAAGGTAAATTGAACATACCAGAACCAGTTACTTTACCAAATACAAGTACCAACCCACAACCGTATGTGTTTATTGGAGATGAAGCATTTGCTTTACATGCAAACTTACTTAGACCGTACCCTGGACGTAACCTTACTGATTCCCGAAGAGTGTTCAACTACCGATTATCCAGAGCAAGGCGCACAGTCGAATGTGCATTTGGAGTACTCGCAAATAAATGGCGTGTTTTACATACGGCTATTCAGGTGGAGCCAGATTTTACGGATGACATTATAAAAGCATGTTGCGTACTGCACAACTTTGTTCGTAAA